GGATTATCCGTTAAGAAAATTGAATAATCCGCCCCCAAACCGATAAGTCGTTAATAAAAAAAAATTAATCTGTTCCCCGTTCGTTAAGCCGTTAAGTCGTTACCAGTAAGCCATTAAGCTTAGGTTCTGTTCGGTTTTCGATTTCGGATAAGCTTTGAACACCCCTACCTTCAACATAGTGAATCGCTGAATGACTGTGTCACAGGTGCGCTTGGTGGGTGGCCAAATCTAAAAGAAAAATTCATGGAGCTCTTCGTATGTGTCGTGAGAATTTGTGGGTACTGCATCCATGGAGTTTCTTCCATTTCAGCCATTGATGGGTTGGAAATTTTTGATTAATTCTTTTCTGGTCTTATTGTTGTTGGTGTAAATAGTTTGGTACTCAATATCAGTTAGGTCAAGGATAATACAAATAACTTTAGGGAAATCTTTAATTGGTAATGATGATAGAAATTCAATGTCATCCTAATATTTTAAAAATTGAAAATAAAAAAAAGAATGTTTCATGGTTGATGCTGGTGCAGAAGTACTCACTTGGGAGGGGGGCATCCATGGTGGTATAGCTTGGGGAAGATGAAGAAGATGGATATCATTGTAAATTCAAATATATTTTTTATTTAAAAAGTCAATAACACGTGTTAAATTATTGATGGTGCGTGGCTACACTTGTTGAGAAAAAAATGGTCAAACACCGAATAGGTGTGTCTTAGACATATTTTTAAAAGGTTGAGTGTATAAAAGATTTTCCGTGAAGAAAATGTGTAACATGGTTTTCGATGTAAGTTCGATGGGTAAACTATGTATTTTTCCTAAGTTGAATGAATCTGGACAAGTCGTGCGAAATAAAGCCAAACTAGTCGCACAAGGTTATTCACAACAAGAGAGAATTGATTATGAGGAGACCTTCACCCCTGTTGTCGGGTTAGAATCAACCCGCATTCTATTAGCATATGCTGCTCATAAATATTTTAGACTATTTCAGATGGATGTGAAAATGCCTTCTTGAATGGATTCATCTCTGAGGAAATTTTTGTTAGGAAACCTCCAGATTTGTAAATGAATCCTCTCTGAATCATGTCTACAAATTGTTCAAAGCACTGTACGGCCTAAAGCAAGCCCCTAGAGCTAGGTATGAAAGGATAAGTTCATTTATAGTTCAACATAGGTTCGACAGAGGTAATATTGATACCACTCTTTTAATCAAACGATCATCTCTAGGTAACTTAATTGTACAAATTTATGTAGATGATATTATTTTCGGCAGTACTAACCCTGTTTTGTGCAAGGATTTCTCAAACATCAAGGAGAATTTAAAATGATGGGAAAACTAACTTTCTTCCTTGGACTTCAAATCAAGAAAGTACAGGAAGAGATCTTTATTAGTCAAACAAAGTACCCGAAAGAACTCATCAAAAAGTTTGGTATGTCTAATGCAAAGGCCATAGGAACACCAATGAGTCCGTCAACTGCTTTGGATGAAGACAAAAACAGTAAGAGTGTTGATGAAATAATGTATCGAGGTATGATTGCCTCATTACTCTATCTTACAACTAGTCGACCAGATATTATGTTTACCGTTTGCAAATGCGCTAGATACCCGTTAGCTCCTAAAGAATATCACCTGACTGCTATTAAACGTATTATCAGATATTTGACAGGGATAGTCGGCTATGGTTTATGGTATGAAAGTTTTGAATATTTTGATCTCAAAGGATTTTCATATGCAGATTTTTTAGGAGATAAACTTGATAGAAAAAGCACAAGTGGAACATGTCAATTAGTTGGTGTCATGACCAGGATCTTTCCACTCTCGGGAGTCGTGATGACGCCTACTAATGGGAGCTAGGCAAGTCAACCCTTAACTACCTTTTTCATTAACAACTTACTTCTTTTAACAATTATCAGTGATAGCATGAAAATAGCGGAATTAAATAAATAAGCGGAAGACCTAAATTAAATAAGCTGAACAATAATGCAAAAGTCAACATATGCCTCTACCCAAGAACTGGTGTCACATCACTCACGAACTACTAAGAGTACTAAATACAACCGTTTGAAAGAAATATAACACTGTTTGTGAATACATGAGATAACAGAATGAAATATAAGATAGAGGAGATGACGGGCCTACGGACGCCTGCAAGGCTACCTCGGTGTCTCGATGGACTGAAGGTTGGCTTCTGCGCTACTGCTGTTGTCCAATACCTAGTTCTGTGCAAAAGAGCACAGAGTGTAGTATTAGCACAACCGGCCCCATGTGCTGGTAAGTGCCTAGCCTAACCTCGGCGAAGTAGTGACGAGGCTAGGACCAGACTACCAAATAACCTCTGTAGTTCAAATATCTATATGTACAACGAAAAGGAAATACATGAAATAATCAGTCAATGTGGAAAGGGAAAACATGTTGTGGGGAGGTAACAATTCCAAATAGAAAACCTCAATAAAAGAAAGAAACAACAAAGCCAGAATATCAACAAGAATCAGAATTCAACGATTTGCACGGCACCACCCTTCGTGTTTTTACTCTCTTCCTCACCCAAACAATATTTATAATAAAAATGTGCACGGCATCACCCTTCATGTTTTTACTCTCGTTCTTACCAAATCAATCGTATCATAATAATATGCACGGCATCACCCTTCGTGCTTTTACTCTCTTTCCTTACCACATAGTCAATGAATATCGGTACGGAATGGTACATCGTATGGCACGACATCACCCTTCGTGCTTTACACTCTTTCCTCACAATAGCAAACAATGCACGGCATCACCCTTTGTGATTTAACACTCTTCCTCACCCAAACAACAATCACAAATAAAGGGACAAGGGAGTAGACAAATAATGGTAGAAATTCCGGCAAGGGAGTATAATTAAACAGCTAAATCCCGGCAAGGGAACAAAATCATTAAATCTCAACATCCCGACAAGGGAGATAATCAACAAAGCAACAAACATCCCGGCAAGGGAACAATTCAATAACTCTTTCTCTTTCTTTCACTTCTTACTTTATAACTCACTTTACCACTTGAGTCAATGCTCCAAAGGGTTCAATTATCTCATATACTTTCACAATTCGTATTATAACTCGAGCAAATGCTCCTTGTTGTTCAAAGATCATAATTTCTTTCGCATGCTTTTTACAACATATAGAAATCGTCATTTAGGGCATGAAAGATACAACAAAAATCAGAATATCCGCAATATAAAGACTCACGGTCATGCTAGACACCAACGTATAGATACTCGTCACCATGCCTATGCGTCATACTCGACAATTAGCACGTAGCAAATAAGACTCAACTCCTAATCCCTCAAGCTAAGGTTAAACAAAACACTTACCTCAAACATCCATGGCCAAATCAATCCTCAATTACCGCTTTTCCTCTCGAATTTGGCTCTAATCGATTGTATCTATACAATAAAGACTTCAATACATCAATAAATGCTAAACAATGCAAACCCAATGCCTAATTATAGCTTTCCAAGCATTCTTTCCAAAATCCCAAAAATCAACCCCGAGCCCTCTTGGTCAAAACACGATTTTCGGACCAAAATCAAATCACCCATTCACCCACGAGCCCGAGTATATAATTTATTTTCAAATTCGACCCCAAAACGAGGTCTAAATAAAGAAAAATCAAAAAGCCCTAACTCTACCCAATTCCCTAATTTCTACCCTTAATTACATGTTTTAGGCCTAGAATTTCAATAGATGTTGATGGAAAATGAAGAAAACGAGTTAAACAATGCTTACCCAAGAAACTTTGGTGAAGAAATGTTTCAAAAATCGCCTAGGAGATTTGGAGAAGAAAGGGATTGTGAAGTTTTGTGAAAATCCCGTAATGGTTCTGTTTTGGGGTTTAAAATAACTGGGCAAAATTGCCCTTCGCGTTCGCGATGGTCCAGGTCCGAAGACCTTCGCGTTCGCGGCACAGGGGCTCGCGTTCGCGTACCATGAGCGGTGTTCGTGTTGAACAAATTTGGTGGCCCTTCCCCCTGTACCCCACACATTCGCGAGTGAAGGGACGCGTTCGCGAAGGGTCTACCCCCCTCAGCTTCGCGTTCGCGTGACCAACTTCTCGTTCGCGAAGAAGAAAATGAACTCCTGGGAATTTTTCCTTACGCTTTCGCGAGTGAGTCCACGCGAACGCGAAGAACAAATTCCCTGTGCACAACAACAGAAAATCTGCAACACTTCTAAGGCCAAAAACCATTCTGAAACACTCCCGAGCCCTCGGGGCTCCTAACCAAACACACGTACTAACTCAACAACATCATACGAACTTATCCATGCAATCAAATCGCCAAACTAACCTCAAAAACAATGAATCAAACCTCAAAATCAAGAGTTTTTCCAGAAACTTCATCAAGTTCAAATTTAAGATTTCAAGTCTGAAACACGTCAAACGATGTCCGATTTTAACCAAACTTTACAGAAACATCTTAAATCATATATAAGACCTGTACCGGGCACCAGAACCAAAATACAGGCCCGATACCAACATGTTCTAATCAAATTTCATTTCAATTTTCCTTAACAATTTCAGAAAAATAATTTCCTTTAAAAATTCATTTCTCGGGCCCGAGACCTCGGAATTCGATTTCGGGCATACACCCAAGCCCCATTTTTCCTACTGACCCTCCGAGACCGTCAAATCACAAGTCCGGGTCCGTTTACCCAAAATATTGACTGAAGTCAAATTTATTCATTTTAAACTCAAAACTTAGCATTTTTCACAGAATTTCATATTTAAGCTTTCCGACTACGCGCCCGGACTGCGCGTGTAAATTGAGGCGACTCTAAATGAGGTTTTCAAGGCCTCGGAAGCACAGAATGGATAAAAAACAGGTGATGACCCTTTGGGTCGTCACATTCTCCACCTCTAAAACAACCGTTCGTCCTCGAATGGATAGAAGAAGGAAGTACCTGAGTCGGGGAATAGATGAGGATAATGGCTCCGCATATCGGACTCGGACTCCCAGGTTGATGCCCCAGGAGGCTGACCTCTCCACTGAACACGAACAACAGGAAAACTCTTGGATCTCAACTGACGAACCTGCCGGTCTAGAATAGCTACCGGCTCTTCCTCATAGGACAAGTCCTTGTCCAACTGGACAGTGCAGAAATCTAACACGTGGGATGGATCGCCGTAATACCTACGAAGCATGGACACATGAAAAACTGGATGCACGACTGATAAGCTCGGCGGCAATGTAAGTCTACAAGACACCTCTCCCACTTGATCAAGAATCTCAAACGGACCAATGAACCTAGGGCTAAGCTTGCCTTTCTTTCCAAATCTCATCACGCCCTTCATAGGCGACACTCGGAGCAATACCCGCTCACCAACCATAAAAGCCACATCTCGAACCTTACGATCTACATAGCTCTTTTGCCTGGACTGAGCTGTACGAAGCCTATCCTGAATGATCTTGACCTTGTCCAAAGCCTCCTGAACTAGATCCGTACCCAACAACTGAGCCTCTCCCGGCTCAAACCATCCAACCGGAGATCGATATCGCCTACCATATAAAGCCTCATAAGGAGCTATCTGGATACTCGATGGGTAGCTGTTGTTGTAGGCAAACTCTACTAATGGCAAAAACTGATCCCACGAACCTCCAAAGTCAATAACACAAGCTCAGAGCATATCCTCCAATATCTGAATAGTCCACTCGGACTGCCCGTCCGTCTGAGGATGAAATGTTGTACTTAACTCAACATGGGTGCCTAACTCTCGCTGAACTGCTTTCCAGAAATGCAAAGTAAATTGTGTACCTCGGTCCAAAATGATAGAGACTAGGACGTCATGAAGACGAACAATCTCCCGGATATAGATCTCCGCTAACCTCTCGGACGAATAGGAGACTGCCACAGGAATGAAATGCGCTGACTTGGTTAGCCTATCAATAATGACCCAAATTGCGTCGAACTTCTTCTGAGTCAGCGGAAGTCCAGTAACGAAGTCCATAGTGATCCGCTCCCACTTCCACTCGGGAAGCTCAATCCTCTGAAATAAACCACCAGGCCTCTGATGCTCGTACTTAACCTGCTAACAATTCAAACACCGTGCCACATATGCCAAAATATCCTTCTTCATTCTACGCCAACAATAATGTTTCCGCAAATCCTGATACATCTTTGCGGAGCCCGGATGAATAGAGTACCGGGAACTATGGGCCTCCTCTAAAATCAACTCCTGAATCCCATCCACATTAGGCACACAAACTCGACCCTGTAATCTCAAAACTCCATCAGCATCTAAGGTAACCTGCTTGGCACCTCCACGCTGCAATATGTATCTAAGGACACACAAATGGGGATTATCAAATTGTCGATCACGGATACACTCAAATAATGAAGAATGAGCGACCGTGCAAGCTAATACTCGACTAGGCTCAGAAATATCCAACCTCACAAATTGATTGGCCAAAGCCTGAACATCCAAAGCAAGCGGCCTCTCACCGACTGGAATATAAGCAAGACTGCCCATACTGGCTGACTTTCTACTCAAAGCATCGGCCACCACATTGGCCTTTCCCGGCTGATATAAGATAGTGATATCATAATCCTTCAACAACTCCAACCACCTCCTCTGCCTTAAATTCAACTCCTTCTGCTTGAACAAATACTGAAAACTCTTGTGATCAGTGAACACCTCACATGCCACGCCATAC